TTACAATGAACCCATTGGTCTCCAAATTTGCGTTGTAATGATTATAAACAATATTTTTATAAATAAAATGATTTTCAAGGAGCATTGTTACGGCCTCAGGAGATTTTCCTCCTTTTCTCGTTTTGATTTTGAAACTTCGGATTTTTTTGGCAATATTTTCTATGGATAATTATTCAGCCATCTGCTAGAAATTTTTTTTATTTAAAGAAAACTACAATCGAAGCTTTCTGTGATTATTAATAAAGTAAAACCATCATCTATTGATAATGTAAAGGTGATTTGTTTCTGTTTCAACCGAAAAATGTCTCAATTAATTAATTTGTATAACTAATCATCACCAATAAAAGAAATATGTCAATATTTAAATTACTACATCTAGTAAGATTTACATAATTGAGTTTTATTAAGAAACTGTGGATGGTTCAACAAACAATAAAACAAAACCTGATTAGGAGTTTCTCTTTTAAAAATTATCAATTTAGTCATAAGGATGTTACACGATTAATATTAAGAGATTTACGGCATTATGGTTTACATACTTGATTCATTTACGGCTTATTATTATTATATAGTAGCACTGCGCAAAAATTCTTTAACCAATTATTCAACCGTGAAAATTAATATTAGAACTAACCGGTCAAAAATATATTTTGACCGGTTAACGATGCCAACCTCTAATTTACATCATCTCGTTTTTTTTTTTAATTATTCAAAATAATTGGAATAATCAACCCAAAGGTGTAAATTCATTCTAAGCTTATTCTTTTTGTTTTAACCTTCACTTAGTTGTTTAGAATAATTCGCTTTGGTTTATTTGAGCGACCATTTCTTGCTTCTTTTCCTTTTGCTTTTGGTTCATTTTCAATAACCACACACTCTAAAACTCTAGTTTAAAGGGTCATTATAAGAAGTTGGATGGTATTATGAATTTCAACATTTTTTTTGAAGCTCCCGACCCTGGTATTGTGAAAACTTGAGAGATTGCTAATGGTCCCTTTTCATGAATTTACTTTATTGTTTTGGAAGGTTATGTTTTCTGGTTTTCAAATAAAAAATAATATTTCTATATGATACCTACTCTTGGTATCAAAAACATCTTTACAATAATATTTGTCCATTTGTAAGAGAT